ACTTCAAGAAATGTTCTTGTGTTATAATCAGGATCACCTGGCTGACGTAACCCTCATTGGGCCAGGGCTGTTATTTCTCTACACTGAGAAAGAAAAATACCAGAGGGGACACCTGTGGCTTGAAAAGGTCTTCTTGATATCAAAGCTCCCTTAGCTGGCTATGTCGTGTTTATTCCCCTTCCCCAAGTCCCCTCCATGCCTTCCCCCACTCACCGCATGCCTAAATTTAACAAATTTAAGCTTGCAGACTTTCCCAGCACACTAGCTACACAAAAATGAAACTTAGGTCCAGAAAGGCTCTGAAACAATGTCTTACATGGATAAAGGCATGCTCTGTTCTGAATACAAGTATTTAAATTACATAATTACCTTTTCCAGCCTCATCCTTTCTTTCTAACTTTATTCAACTACATATATTTTTTGATCATATTCAGCTCAAGTGAATTTGAATGCTCAGGCCTGTTTCAGCACCTTGATACCATGTCTCTATATCAGTGGTTCTCAGTCAGGGTTGATATTGTACCCCGCTGGGGACACTTGGCAACTTTGGGTGTATGGGTATTGTTGGCATCTGGAAAGCAGAGGCCGGGAATGCTGCTAAACATCCTACAGTGCACAGGACAGCGTCCCCACTGCCAAAAGGAAACATCCAGCCTAAGCGTCAGCGGAGGCTGAGAAACGTTGCTCTACACACAGCACTATTGGCACAATGGGACTAAGACTGCTCCCAGGATCTTCAGGTTTCTCTCCGTGTTCCCTGGACATCCAAACCACAATTCACATTGTATTAAAATTACTTAATAAAAAAAGTAGAATGGTGGTTGTTGGTGGCTGTGGTGAAGGGGTCGTGGGAGTTAGTGTTTAATGCGGATGGAGTTTCAGAATGGGAAAATGAAAAAGTCCTGGAGATGGACAGTGGGGATGGTCACACAGCAGTGTGAATGTGCTCAATGCCACAGAACTGCACTCTCAGCGATGATGAAGAAGGCGTTTTACGTTACGTATATTTCACTGCAATAAAAATTTGGAAAAATTATATGATTCTCTCAGTAGACAAATTTAAGGACTGGATCCACTCAATTCCTGTGTCTTGAGTACCTAGTTGGGGTCTGGGACGAGAATTCAAATATTGTTCTGATAAGCTTGGGGGTTTTAATCTTGGAGTTGGCTTCTACTTACACCACTTTCTGGAGATTATGGGTAGCAGAGGCTATTTTTTCATGAAGAATCCTCACCGATGAGGTACTGAGGAAGCTCTGACTGATGTCTAGAAACATCAGATTCTTGTTTGAGCCAAACATGGAACAAAGGTCCACCCAGAAAGGAAGCATGTGTTGGTCATTTTTGGACCTACAGGGAAGAGACAAGGGAAGGAATTTACTAAACACTGCTGGAGAGAAAACTAACATTTGTACATTCTTGTGAAGGTATTTAGGATTGTTCTGGGCATACACCCTTAATAAAAAGTTGGATGACTGAATCATTTAGCTTCACTATCAGATAACTCATTGCCTACAACATATCACTGGAGAAAGACCTTCATAAGCTTCTTGCACAGCATCTGTTAGAATGTTAGAATAAGTCAAAATTATTACCGTATCTTTGATAGAAGATTGAGGGTGATGTACATATCAATAGAGGATATTAGACTCTATGATCATATGTCCATATACACAATATACTTAAGCTAATTTACAACTATATTTGCTGACCTAAAATGTCTATAAAAACTTGAGAAAATAGTCTTTAAGTGGTTACATATTCATCATAATACACAGACTTCTCAAGGTATGTTTATTTTGCTCTGGTGGTTACTTCCTGGTGGTAGGATTTGTGTGAGTGATGTGGTTTCCTTATCTTTTTCAATATTGCTTAACTTTTCTATTTACATAGGGGAACTTTGTAATCATAAAAAAAATTTTGATTTTTAGGAAAATGGTGAGGGCACTTGAAACCATGATGTGTCCAAAAGTTAAAATATTTTTAGTAACCGACAAGGGGATAGATACCATGAAAGCTAAGAAATAGTCTACTATCTGAAGGTTTTCATGGAGAAAAAACAAAGGTAAAAATGTGCAAAGAATAAAAGATATTATTAAATATAATAGAGAACAAAATGTAATATACTATTCTGAAGTAGTAGTTATGGTGTCTGGAGATAATGGAGGAGAAATGAAGAGTCTTTGAAGGCAAAAGCTTCATTAGTAGACTTGACTGAACAGCAATACTACGCAGAGTAGACATTTATGATTTAATGTAGGAAAATAAAAGAGAAATCATACAGAACTTAGATTTTCTCAGCTCTAGTGCCCCTGGCTGTTTTATGACCAGGTTATACCATTAGTTTTACTAGTGGTGCCTGCCTTGAAAGACACATCCAACATAAATGGCCTTATTATAAATCTTTAGGCAACAGGAGGAAAAGTTGGTTTCTGCATAGAATTTGTGACTTTTCAAAGAGTATGATTAATATATTCTGGGGGAAAAAGTTAAAAGACTGTGTAGGATTTAGTGTCAGCAGCTATCTTATCAAGATAAAATAATTAAGCCAATAAGTAGAGTACCCCCTCCTATGACCCTGCTATGGAAAGAAGTGATTTAATCAGAAAACATCTGGTGATTTAACACTACCTTGGGAGTTAGAGACCAGCAGTACTCTGGGCCTGCTGTGATGGATAGGGGAAGTGGCAAAAAGCATATGAAAGAAACTTTCACGAAAACTTGAGTTTGCATTACAGACCAGAATTATAATCAAATCTAAAGACATTCAGTTCCTTCTCCTTCTTCTCAGACCATGCAACCAAACCAAGATTAATTAATCACCATTCAACACCAAGGTTAAAAAGAAACAAGGAGAAAAATAGAGATTATTTTGATTTGGGATCTTAGATGGGGTGGGGGAGGGGGAGAGAGAGAGAGAGAGAGAGAGAG